ATTGAGGTCATATCTGGCTAGCAGTACCATTTAGTAAGTAGAAACTTAACATTTCTCTTAATAATGGAAGATGTAGACAACAAATCAAGAGGATGGTCAATACTACAGAGTTGATTGGGGCATCATTTATCTGAAATACTACCATCTCCCCAAAGTTGCATAAACCATGAGAAAAACAGGAAAAAAAAAAAGGCAAGGGGGAGAGACAGAATCCTGGTATGTGAGGAAGTAATGGGAATCCTTGCAGGATGTTAGAGTAAGTCTCCTTTGCACAAGTTTTGAATTCTCCTTTGTGTGAACTGAATTTGATATTTTGCTGTATACTTACGTACTTTCACTTGATAAGCATCATGTTTATCAATAATAATGTTTCCTAGCAGATATTAGCAAATCTTTCTTTGCAAATCCCAAGAGATGTGGGCAAGTGCTATTCTTTGTTTGGAAAGGAGTCAACAAATGAGTGTCTTGCCTCGTAGTACACACGAAGACAGTGACAGAGCTGGGAACCAAACATACGTGAACTTGAATCCCTGTCTGGATCTGTAATCAAAGCACCAACTGTCAGTAAATTTAAAATCTTAATAATACTCTAACTTTTGAATGTTAGAGTAAAAGCCTCCTTTGCACAAGAGGTAGTACAAGCTACCTATTAAGACAAATATCACAAGTTACAGTTGGCTCAAATCATCTTAAGCTGTTATTAGTAAGGACATTGCTATGATAATTCAGGAGAAACAGTAACCTCCAACTGCTTCTGAGAACCATTTTTTATTACGTGCTATTTATGGAGTGGTAGGCAGCCAATAAAACTCAGTAGAACTGTACAGCCACACATAGCTTGCAAGTCATCTTATTTTCTATCTTTGCATAGCACAATACATTGTTAAATTCATCACTCCCAAACCTCAACTAGCAGTTTATTATATCAATCTTAAGTGTTCAAAAAAATTAACAAAAATCCCTACTCAGATTCCGTTAAATAGAAGGTAAGCAGGCATGGCAGTATTGCACAACAATGGAGTTATTCACATATCTATTTTCAACACCTAACGTTGGAACAGAAGAAGCTATTAAATTGACATGGCTCGATTACCAGTGATAGAGTTTGATTTACATTGTTTCTAACTCCCCCCCGGAAATGAAGTTTCGCAGCTCCCATTCTGTCCAGTCTGACTCCAGATTGTAGATAGCATGGAATAGAAAACACCCCTAGACTGCAGTCTAACCTGCCATGAGAAGGCAAGAGGAAAACTGTGGATAACGCAGCAACTGAAAAATAATGTCCCGGTGATGAAGAGAGAATATGAAGAGAATGAGGGGAAAAAAAAAAAGCACACAAGAAGTTCGTGAGACTGCAGGGCTTGCAGATCTATTACAGATCTCAGAAAGGACTCCATGGCAAAGATGCTGCAGAAACACTAAAAGACTCCTCAATCTTCAGAGTATATTGAAAAATTATTTGCTGAAGACATATACTGTTGAGGTGAAGATGAAATACCATCAGGTTGAGAAATCAGTAGAGGACACGCTGGAAAAAAAAGATCATTAAAGCATCTAGTCAACAGCTCGATAACAGATTGTTATGTTCTGACAGAATTCTAACACACTGCTATGTTTTAAAGACTGCACCTTCACAGACCAGACGCCTGATTCGTGACAGCCAGAGAGCAGTAAACCCTGCCAGAAGCATGAGGGTGATTTGGGGAATCACAGACAAAATCTTATTTGGATTCTGCAATCCATAAAAACTGTCAGAATTAGATATGCACAGGACTAACTTCCCAGCAGCCAAATCACACGGGTACTTGGTTGATTAGAGCACCAGAATGTCCTATTATCTCTGATAGGCTCATCACATTAACAAATAGTATCTGCAACTGAGCCACAAGGGAATGGTGTTGCTGCAAATAAGCTGAAACTCCTACTGCCTACAGCTCTCAAAAACAGACTACAGTGTGCTGTAAGAGAAAAAAGTTCTCATTTCATTTCTGATATATATACACATACACAAGCATATAACACACATACTACTTTTAACATGCATGCAGGAGAAAGGATATTATATAGAAAGACTATATATCTTTTCAGTCCAACACCAACTCAGCACTTTCACCTTTAGATTACATTCTTGGAAGATAAAAAAAAGCAAAACAAACAAAAAACAAAATCCAAACACAGAGCCAGATAATATTTTATGCAAATTGAAATTCTACTCAAAATTATTTCATTAACTTCCTATGCAAAGAAAAATTCACTGAAAACTGCACAAGTTTCCAAGTTTTCAGAGTTTCCTTCCACCACAAAATTCCTACCCTGAAGGAAACCACAAACATGAGGTCAAAGATTTCTGAACTTTGTGTATAATGATACATATATGCTATATTAATAAACAATTTTACGTGCATATTATATTTACATCAACCAACCTGAAGAAATATATAGTTTGCCTCAGAACCTTACAACTCTCCAGCTCTTTTGTTAAAGGCAATCCACCTCAGATCAATAAGCTTCAGCCCAGAGTGTGAACTGTGAACCTTGCCGTTTGCCATGGAACATTGTTTCAAACCAGCATATAAGTCTCAAACACAAAAGCCTAAAAACTCTATTTCAAAAAAAAAAAAAATGGCAAACTGCACTAACTGAGCAGATTTATGCTTTTAATATTTTAGTATTTTAGTTTAAAATTACTATTACTACACATATAGAAAATGTCTTAAAATGATCCATGATTCAAGCAATAAATGCTTTTTAGAGATCACAAGCAAGTCTAAACTATGGCCACCAAAAAGTAGAAGCTCAAAATCACCAAGAAGCCAAGATAAAAAAAAAAAAAAAAAAAAAAGTAAAGAGTAAATAATAAAAGGAAAAAAATCAAGCCAAACATTTCTACATTGGATACAGTATAGGGAGCAGCCTTTGGATGCTGCATGAGACAGACAAAAAAAATAAGTAAAGGGTAATCTCACAAATGTTAACTACTAGTGAAAAACAAAACTTGATATACTCAGCATATTAAAATACATTGCTGGATTAGCAACAAGCCTTACAGGAGTAGTTAAAGGGAAGAGTGGCATTACCTTAAGTTTTTCTTTACAGCTGGGCTGATTGAGCACTTCATCCAGAGAGGCTGTGGAGCCTCCTTCTTTCAAAGTCTTCAAAACTCACCTGGATTTATCCTGTGCAATGTGCTCTAGATTTTCTTGCTGGAGTAGTGGCTTGGAGTGTATCATCTCTAGAGTTCCCTTCCCATCTCAACCCTTCTTTGACTCACCACTGACAGATTTTTAATAGTTAAGGCAATCAAGTACTCATTACAGCTTTTTGTGCATAAAATGAAACAATCTTTTCAAGTTTAGCCCTTCACACAGCAGACTGCCTCCAACAACTGTTCGAGCCATTACAGCATCAAGGTCTATCACAGCAGTTTATCTTAACAAGACCATTCTCTGTATTATATATACTATTGCTTCCTGCATGCCAATGCCCTGTACATAGCTAAACATATGCCGTTTTATACTACTTCTCTTTTAAAATAGAAGAGGACATAAAGATTGGATTAGTGTGGTAACATATGAGTTACGTAGAACATTTTCAAACATGTTATGAATTTTTCCTTTACAGTTAGTCCAGACTAGTCTATGAAAAGCCATAAGAGATACTACACCGAAGGGCAGTTTGTCTTCGAGTTGAAACTTCACTGCAAACCTTGTAGCCCAGAACTAAGCAGCAAAATCCTTTTATACTGTGATACTCCAGCTGCAGGGCAACTATATTAGTTATGCTAATCTTGTACCATTACACTTATGAATTAGCAGTGCTTTAGCCCATTTGGCACTATTCCTACCTAATCACTACAACTAGTAAGTTGGGAGCCATTCTCATATATTCTGCAATGATTCAGCATTTACAGCCTTTAACTGTGGGCAATATCTTTATCTTCTCCACCTTATAATTAGTCATTTCTACTATTCCACCAGGTTTGGTCTCAGTTCACCAACTGTGTCAGTAGTATTATACCCCAGCAAACTAACAGCCACAGTGAAGCAGAAAGAGAGTGCAAACTAGTACAACTGATATGATCACAAATTGTTTACATAACTGAAAGCACAGATAGAAAGCTCTCACCCTGGGCTTGCCATCTCTGATTGCAACACCTCACAGGCAATATGTTACCATACTGAAATATCATGGTGTAACAAACTTAGTAACCTTTGCATGAAAATGAGAATTGTCATCTTTTGTGCTTTAGAATTGTGCCCATTTGCCTTGATTTTCTTTTATGAATTAAGAACAAACTTCTGAACAAACTTCATTTTCCTGTCAAATTCACGCTGATATTTTTCTCACTTTCTCTTCTGGCATGGTGTGCTGTAACTCAACCATATTCCTGCAAGGCTGGCTGTTTAGTATATGTGGTTATTACCCAAAACCTAGACAACCATTTTCTCCTGAAAACCAAAAAGAACTTCAGGTCATCTTTGGAATACTTCCCCTTATCTTAAATTATTTTTATCTTAAATTAATTTTGTCTCCAGGTGAGTTTTTTTTCTGTCCAAAAAAAACTTGGTGGCATATTACTATTTGAAACAAATAACAAATTTCCAAGTAACAGGTAAGGCTCTCAGCTTTAGAAGCTGAGAACACCAACCTATAGCCCAACTGCATGAACCCATGACTGCTACGCACTGTAAAAGAAAATCTTGGAAGATTTCATACACAAAAATGACAAACTATGCATATGAGTATGCAGAGAGAAGGAAAAAATGCACAAACTGTTTCTCCCTAGGAGTGTTAACAACATAACTGCACCATTCATTTACAGTTCTGTACAGAGAATAACTACTATTATCTACAGAGATAAAGCCTATTTCATATGCAGATTTATCACTTTTGCCTTTTCTTTATTATTGAGTCTATATTTCTGAGCAGGAAGACCTATGAATTTCTAACACTGGGAGTACATCTGATACCTAAGTACTTGTTATCAAGACAAGTCTTACCTACTACCAAGGATTGGCTCCCCAGAGGCTCCCAAAGCAGAATAATCCATGCCATAGAAATTGAGCCCTAGAAGTATTTTCTTCCTCCATTTTGAATCAGGATCCAGCACCTGAACACAAGCTTGTATCCATGGAAGAGGGGAATTAGGACCAGGTCTGTTGGGTTGGTGGAAAGAACAGACAATAAGAAAGAATGCACATTCACTCTCATCAGCTTTCTCTTTTTAACTATGGTAGGTGCAGAGAGAAAAGCACAGCATGCAAAGAAGAGCGAAGGTTAATCCATGATTCTATGATGATTAAATACATATATTGGTGGCTTGAATTGCTGATGCACAAATTATGATGCCTCATTCTTCAGATGACTTCATGATCCATTTCTAAGTTCAAGGAATATATCTCTTCTCACTCTAAATCCGAACCTAGCAGATTTTCTGTAACACCAGGTCTCCTTTAGTTCACACGAGAATTCAAAACTCTATAACTTTAGCCATTTTCCATGCTAACACCTAACATAACACATTGGGACAAAAATCTACCATTTGCTTACAGAAAGAAAAAACAAAAAAACAGATTTCAGTAGTTACTTAGCAATTCGACTGTTTATTTCCAGACAAAAAACTAAATAGTCAATTAAGTGACAGTGAAAAGCCACATTTATAACATGAGCATAGCCAGAATACATGGAAAGGTTGAATTTTGTATATACAGTGAATCAGGATACCATATTCTTTCCCTTCCCACATTCACTGGAAAGGAAACCAGGTTTCCTTGCAAACACTCAGTACCATAACAAAAGAAAAAGCATGTTCACAGTCTCAAATATCAGCATTCTTTACTCTTTGCTATTTAACTACTTCAAAGCATTCTGGATATCAGTGCCATTAAAACAGTGTGTCAATATAACACAAAATTTTGCAGGAAATTGTTTTTATTTAAAGGCAAAAATTTTGTGCAAAAATATAGGTATTATGCTGTATTTCATATATTCAAACCAAACAAAGCAAATGCAAGCATAAAGAACCTCATTTTTTTTCCAAAACTCATCTCAAACTAGAAGCAATATACCTTGCAAACTATGTTTATTTCAAATACAATGAGCACATTACCTGAAAACTGCCTCTATCTCCCTTTCAAGTACAGAAAGCCTAGCAGCTGAAGCTCAAAATAATCTAAGACACCAGTAAAAGCAGAAAGGCTATGACTGTACAATAGCAGAATCTGTGATTTTTAGCAAAGTATAAAGCACAGTGCAGCTCCATCATACAGGAAAGACACAAAGGAAGCTTATTAGAAATTTGTACCTCAGAATGCATCTAGGATTCCAGATGGATTTATAAAACCTGTACTAAAGCTCATATCACATTATCTTCATAGATGTCAGTGTTAATTAGAAGAAACTGTATACAAATTCATGCTACAATCACTGTTCTCATTGCAGTGATCCTGACATACAAATCTCAATAACAGACTTTTTTGAACAAATTCACTTGTTATTCTAGCAAAGCTACTCATATTGTAGATGTAACAGCAGCATAACAAGAAAACTGTTCCTTCAGCAAATTTTCGCTAATGTTAGAATCTTACCGTTGTGGTGTTGAATAGTCATATGTCATGAGACTGAAGCCATCTATCACTGATGCCAGCTGATCAAATTCTTTCTTTGTGAACATTCCTGGCTGGTTAGTCCTTTTAAAACAGAAGCAAACAGCAAAAAGAGAAATTATTATGTAACCTAGCTTGCTCTGTCAAGTTGCATTGTCATTATCAAATTGCCTTAGAAAGTCAAGTGAACTCTGAAAACCTTTACAAACCTGAAGTGCCTAACCTGTTGAACTGTTCTGGTTTCTTTTAAGACTAAGTAGCTGAGTCATATTTAAAAAAATGTGCGGGACTGTTGATACAAAGCCATAAACCAAAGGTAATTTTTGATTAATCTCTGAAGAGCATTTCAGCTTGTACTGGACTTAAAACAGTTTTTCTAACAGATAATGAATAAGACTGTGATAAAGGAAGGGAAATTCTAGGGGTAAATTTTCCTGAATCTTGGTGGAGATTGAACTCTAGCATTCGAAACTCACTTTGAGAAAAAACCTTCTAACACACCAAAAGGAAAATCTAGCATGCCTTCAATATACTTTAGTATAAACTGAATAAAATAAATAATAAATAACAATAAAAATAATAAAATAATAATAAATAATAATAAAAACCATGAACACAACTCTCACTATCTTTTTTCTTCTCATTTACAAAAGCTAGTACTGTACCCAAAAGCTATACTAGCTTTATGGGTGAAGGGGTATCTTTGCCAGTTTGGGACCTGTACAAACTCCTGCCTTCTTCAGTCATTTCAACTAGGGGACAATGACTGCACACAAGTTGCTGGAAAACTCAAACTGTTTCAAGGAGAATTCATAATATTAAACTATCATAGCAGGCAACATAAGGAAGCCTTAATCACATTGCAAAGATGGCATTGAACTAAGGAGATGGAGAAGCTGCCGCATGAACCCTGTTCTCAGTCAGAGGACTCCTGAGAATCTAAGATAAAAAGACAGAAAGAGCAGAAGCATGTTTTCCTAAATAGCCTTGGAGAATGGGATTCATAACGAAACACAGCAGAGGAAAAAAAAAAAAAGGCATTTTTGAATATTTATGAACCCTGTGTTGCTACTAAGCCATTCTAAAAGACCTGAAGGATTGCACAAGACTCCTATAGATGGTTGAGAAGAGACTAAAGAATACAGAACTGCCACTGGTATCAAAAACCACCATTTCATGTAGAAAACAGCAGGCACTCCCTGCCTAGACATGCTACACATTAAAACCACACACATTCCACCGCAACTGGAGCAGGGGTGGGAAGAATGGTTCTCAGTGACAAATGAATGTAATCAACTGAAAAATCACTTATTTTGACCCTCATCACTTTTGGATCAGTGTTTAAATTCCACATCCAACAATGTTAGATGAATGGATATGAATGAATCAGCAGAGCATAACAGCATCCACTTACAGGTTTACAAGGACACTTTCTGTTCCATCACATTAGGAAAGAAGTTAATAGACTACAAGTTTTGAAGTGTTGCAAAATAAATCATTTAATGTGCCTGTTGTGTTAAAAGGGAGCTAAGCATGAATGACATCAGCAAGCAAGGTCAACCCGATCATATACGTACTGGTTTACTTAGCTCTAATATATATGAGGTATACTAGGGCTCTGGCATTTTCAAATTTTCAGAATCAATGATTTACTTGTAATAAAGCTGTAAAACAACATCTAAACAATACCTTTCCTTCTGAGATTTCACATATAAATTATAAACACAAGTCTTCTTCTGGAACCCATCATTGGACTTGTGTTTTTTGTAGTTATCTGCTTGTCATTTATTGCAATTGCAGATTACAACTATTCTACAAGAAAATGAAGGACATCTTCAAAACTATATAATGGCAACCTGAATGCCCATAGGGGAAGTAATTCCCCCAAATCAAACCCCAGCAAAATACATTTTCCATAAATCAATTTTGATTACCAAAGGGAAATGCATAAAAAGTAATCATATTGTGCATTAAATACTATGGCAAGTTGGATTACTTTACAGATTAAACAGGGTAATATTTTAATGAAACTCTGACAGGTACCTTGCCCTCTACACCCACTTTTCACAGATACAGCCAAAGAATCCGAACAAAATCAAGTTAAAATGGATACTGCATATTGCTTTCTCCAAAATAAACTTGTAATTGAACTCCTTTGGCTACACAGAAATACCATCTGAGAAGCACGGACAGGAGCTTCCAGATTAGACCAAATCTGGCAGCAATAAATATGCTTTGTCAATCATGGATGGAGTAAAATACCACTGCTCTTAAAAAGCAAACATCTCCCACCAGCTCAATCAGTACCAATCAATTCTGCTCTAGTCAAACCTTTTGGAAATCTGCCTGCAGGTTAAAAAAAAAAAAAAAAAAAAAAACAGGATTTTCAGAATCTAGCCTTAAGGAACAATTCTATTTCAAAAGAACTAGCACTTGTAAGTAAATAAAAAGCAAAACCAAAACAATTTTTGCATGGTGATTTTGCCTCTAATTTGAGGCTCTCCTGTCATTCTGATATTCAAATTAATCTTAAAGTCAATTCAAAGGTAGGTATATACTACTGAATATGTAGCTGCAAAAGCCAGTACAGAGAAAGTAAAGAAACTTGGCACTGGACATGAAATCCAAGAAAATAGAAGTTTAAGTCTTAGCCAAAAGCCTGCCATGCTCCTATGCCCTGAACAATGTTTCTAAAATACTCAGTGAAGAGGCAGAGGCTCTGTCACTATTATCACTAGTATACAATATGCACACTAAAGACAGCTTGTTATTAAATTGTCAAATGACTAAAATTGTGGTTGTTTAATCCACTCACCATCACAGCTCTGAAGGTACAAACAGCAATTTTTCACACATGAATAATATGAAAAGTGGATTACTTGAGATCTTGAAAATCTCTTTGTATGGCATTAATCCTGATCTCTGAACTGCTTCATTTGCTTTATCTTTGAGGTACAGCAATACTTTTGCTTCAGTCCACCCCATCTCCTAGAGAGGTGATAAAGATTCTACCATGTGCTTTTAAGAGATAATTCCTTGTTGATTTTTCTGCCAAAAATTTCCTACTGAGACCTTTTATACATGAACCAGTATTCATTTATTTCCATTCTTAGCTAAGTCTCTCCTTTTCACTCAACTAAAGCAGCTCCTTCACTCAACTAAAGCAGCTCCTTCACTTTAAGGTATTTCCCCTGCCCCTGCCCCAGACCCCTGACTCAAGTTTCTGTTAGTCAACACAAAGAGAGGAAAAACTGTTCTCCTGAAAGCATGGGTTTTACTTGCCTATATTCCCTTTAATTTATCAATATGTCTTCTGATGAGAGATTTCTACATAAATATATATGTACATATTCTGTGCATGTATATGTATACTTATATATCCTTATGTATATGTACAGCTCTATACATACACAGAAATTGTTATATGGATGTCAACATCACAGAAGAAACCACCTGTATTTCTTGGAATTTCTGTATAGACAGCTCAATTATATGGCCCTTTTTTCCTATTCTACAGTTACAGCTTCTCAAGCGTAGGGAATTTCAAAGCCTAGAAAGCCTGTTACCTGTACCTTACAGGTAGCATAGGGCCATCCATATCACAATTCTCATTAGTGCTTCACTGATAAGTATTTCTAGGAGGTTTTGACTTTGCAGTCTTTCATACTGAAAGACTGGAAAAAGTATATATAGCCTAGTATCTCAACAATGCAAGCCACTTTCATTTGCTTTCAAATGAATCTACATTCTCGATTACTTCTCATCTCACTATGATTACTTCCAAATGAAATAATATAATCAGAAAAAGTCTCGTAACTGCCTGTGATTCCCTGCAAGTTTGAGTTACACTCTTGTCCTCACCTTCCTTCTCCCTTCTAAACCAGATTTTTCTCCTATATCCTCACATCTTTGAATGATCCTTCATAAAAGATGACCATTTTTTGCATATGTTTGCTGTATATACTGTAGCTCTTTGCAAATCTCCCCCTTTATCTTCCCTTACCATCAGGTATTAGATTCCATGGCTCCTCACAGTTAGCCGCACTGAAGTATAGTACTATTACATATTATGAATGCAGACCACTGAATTTAGTTCATGATCACCGATTACAAATTCACTGTTTCTTTGTTTATGCAGTCTGTTTTACATCAAATACAAGAAAGAGCTAAAACTTCTATTCAGTGAATCATGCAATTGCAGGCATCAATACTAAGGTATGCAAATACCTAAGCAAGCTAAACCATTTTAATTTCAGGGAAAGTGTTCTTGGCACAGCTGTAACTACCCCAATCTAATTCACCAAAATTCTTGGAGAATGACAGCCTGCAGAAGGAACTCCTCCACTGTTAGTATTTAGGAAGTAGTTCTGTGACCAGCAGAATTATGAAGCTTAGTTTCCCCCGAATGTTTTGGAACTAGATTCTCTGATGTCTTAGAAACTTTCTCCATTTACAATGCCTTCTCACTGATGGGTCTTGGGGAAGGACAGCTCTTCATCTGTCCATATTTTTCTCATGACGTAGCAAGGGCCTGGCTATTCAGAATTGTATTCCTATACCAATTTCATTTGAAACTTGCCAACTGGTTAAAAAAAAAAGCTTCTGTGGTTGATCAAACAGGTCACAGCTGACAAACATCTTGTTTTCTTCAGGCTAACAACAGAACTAATCAGTACTTGCAATAGCACTGGATGAAGCAGGCAAGTCAACACCAGGACCTTGACACAATTCTGCTGTTTTGAGCTGTGAACAATAATTATAAATCTAATTTTTACTGTAGGAAAAATACATAACAGGTGAATGCTTAAACAAAAAGATTCTCAGACAGAAAAGAGATTTAATGTGTAAGAGAGGTTGAATTCCAGGCAGTTGGTTGAAAATTTTAAAATAGCCCTTTGACCTCTCTTCCTCAGCAAGTATATCCTTGCAGCCAATATATCAAGGCCTTTACTGACATGCATGCTACTCAGTAAGCATTTCAGAAAATGTGCATGCTTAGTATTCAAATAAACTCACATGCATTTGTAACATGCCTTCTTTTGCCTTTTCTAATGGAAAAAGTTTTCAAGAGTGCAAGAGCTGCA